ATTTTGCAAGACACTTTCTAAATGAAGTATTTCAGGTAGAAAGACTGTTATATGATCCTGTTTAAAATATTCATCAGCTAGTGGCACAGTTCAAAACATTTTCAGAATTTCTTTTTAACTAGTATGACATAAAAGATTTTATTTTACTGTGTGGAGAAACAGAAAAAAAATATCCCTTGTCTTATATTATCGAAGCCCTGGCTGAGAAATAAGATTCAGTGGGGCTGAAGTGTCTAGCACTTACAGTATTACTGAGTCCATCATGGTGTCCAAGATCTCCCTGCTGCTTTCTGAAAGAGGCTGCCAATCTGCTGTTTTGCTAGTGGCCTTTTTCACCCTTTTTGTTTTCCCAGATGCCATTTCTGCTGGTAACAGGAAGAGAGGGAGAGAAGAAGATCCAATTTGTCAGGCTTGGATTGAAAATTGTATAGTAATTCATTCAGCTGCTTCTCTGAATTCCAGTGACTGGGCTATCAACTCATGAGTAGATTTTCTGCCCAAAAAACACAATCCTTAACCCACCCACATTAGCAACAGTATTTATTATTTATAAATTCCCAGCTATAAACTGTGCAGATGGCACAGTCCTTGCCCTAAGCAGCCTCCATTCTAAAGTGATTCATTATATTAATGAAAGGATTAAAGAGTAAGCAAAAAAGAGAAGCTATGCCGGCTACTGCTCCCTAACATACCCCCTTCCCAGCTCCATGAAACATTTCAGCTACTGATACTCACTACAAGGGAGACCTAAGTTAGATTTCCAGTCTAGGTCTCTAACCTACTGGCTGTAGCAAGAGTTGGAAGTACTTCAGGGAAAGCACTATTATTCCAGAACAAGCAGTCAGTGTTTTCTGTCTCCTGGCTAAAGACTTCACCAGCTGTTCCTTAACCAAAGTTTTAAAGGAAGGCCTTTCCCTTTAAATTAAAGGATTAAATCTTTTTTCTTTTTGCATTTTAGACATTAAGTAAACCAGTCTGCAATCAAAAGGATATTGAGTATGACTCTATGACACAGGAAACCAAGGAATCAGAAGCAAGATAAACATGAAGACACTTCCACTCCTTAAAGAGACAAAAGGCCCTACCACAAACCTACATACGTATAAGATACGTACCTAATAAGGAATGTTTATTTTTCATCCTTCAGGGAAAAAAAAATCCCTGCAATCAATCTTACAAGCAGGGATCCAGGTTCTCCATTTCCCATGGAGTAAACCATGGATTTTACCTTCTACCAGAGGCAAACACAGATTTCTGATTTTACCAGAGAAGCCTGCAGATTTTGCAGTTTTGCAACAAGCCCCCTGCAAGCTGGAAGAGTTCCAGTCTGCAGGGGGCTGGGAGGAAGCAAATAGAGGGTGACCAGGCAAGGGACGCCATGCACACGGCCCCAGGCAGCCTGGAGAGCAGCTCCCTGAAAAGTGGGGGTCAGAACTGAGCCTCTGTAGGGAGAGAGGGAGGGAGTTGGGCAGGGCTGGGACTGGGGCTGATGCCCAGCCAGGCGGTGTATGGGGCTTGGGGCCACCATGTGTAGTTGCAGAGCCCCAGTGGGGAGTGGGATGGGGGCTCCCTGCAGCAGTGTGCACTCCCAGGGAGCAGGGGGGACTTGTGCAGCATGCCCTCTAAGCTGCATGGCGTGCGTGGCTGCACAGGCGTGCCTGGCAGCATGGCATAGCACACTTGCACGGCCACACACACCACACAGCTTAGAAGGAACACTGGACCCGTGCCCCCCAGATCTGTGCGTGGGGTGGCAGCAGGGCAGGTGCAGGCTTGGGCTCCCCCCTGCTGCCCTACCCCAGGGCCTCCGCAGGCCAGCAGGCACGACCTGGTGCAGCAGGGAACAGCGGTGCTGCAGAGAAGCTGCTTGTCGCTTCGAGGCACAAGCAGGGCCAGGGGCTGAGGGTGGGGAATGAGAGGCACAAACAGGGCCAGGGGTCGGGGAGTGAGAGGCACAAACAGGGTCAGGGGGCTGTGGAGGGCCCTTAATTTTAATCACAATTTGGGGGTTTAATCAGAGTACTTGCAATTTTTTATCAGGGAAAACCAGGATCCCTGATTATGAGTTACACTTCCTGTTCCTGGTATTGTTTCAGAGCAAGGATTTATGAGGTGAAAGTACAGCACTGTGTGCAAAATCTGTACATGGGGAGAAAAAAAATATTGGTACCTTCAGGGGACTGCTCCCTGTATTGCTTTCCTCTCTTCTTGGCTGTCTGTTTGACCTGGTAAAAAAAAGGAAAATTTACAACCGAGCTATGCACCTCTAGCAAACATTCTCAAATTACACATCTCGTGCAAGGTTTCCAGGCCATAGACCACACCCCTCTTCCCTGTTCTCCAAGAGAAAGTGAAAACTCATAAACAACCTTAAATCCTCCTCTTACAGATGTGAGACTAGAGATGAGAAAATGCATGGTCTTATCACTTCCCATTTCTTTCCAGCAGCAGCTGGGGGTTAAGCAACTCATAAGACCAGTTATAAGGTGCAAGATCTCTCAGATATAAAGTAACTCCCAGCAATATGACATGATTAGCCAGAAACAGCAAACTGTCTCCAGGGAATGACTGGACTAAGATTGTATTGGTCCATCTAAGCAGTCATTATCCAGTTCTAAAGTCCTGAATAGCTCTTCAGCTTGCTATTTTGCCAAGGACTGGGACAACAGTGCCCTCTAATGGCCTAGGACATAAAATGGAAATGACTACTTTTTCCTGGCCCGAAAGATTTCCTTGTTTCTTTTTCAGTTACTCAAGTTCTCTCAGAAAGAAGAGCTGTCCATCCTGAACCGACTGAATATCTTGCTCAAGATCAGGGGCCCCAATGCATTAAAGCACTTTCCACACATCCCGTTAGGTTGCACACCTCAAGAGATGCACGGTTTCTTCCCTCCTGAGCCCTCTTACTCCTCTGGGTGGTTTGGCATGAAATTACTAACCTCTCCCTCTTGTGTCCGTTTCCTTTTTCCTCCATCTGTTCCTTTTCTTTTGCTGACAGTTTCTGAGGGCTGTCGTAATTTACTCTTGGATCTTGCTGCTCCCTCTCCAACTGATTTTCTTGCCTTACTGGCAGGAGCAAGATGACGCTTCATGGCCTGTAACGCAGTGGATGAAGTGGAAAAACCCACTACAGAGATTATAATGTGCAAACCGCACGCCGTTCAGTAAGAAGCAGGTATGTTCTATGTTGAGTACAGCATAAAGGTTTCTCTAAATGCAGCCATTCTTTTTACAAGTACCTGGAAGTACTGTTCTCTGAAGAAGTTACCGAATACTCCGCAACTACTTTTAAATCCTTAAATTCACCAGCTAACATGTCTATCGTACAGAGAATCATAAAACACTAACAACATCATCCATGATCTCACCAGCATGTTACAGGGATGGTATTCTTAATTCATGACACCACTTCCCACAGCAGCGACTGCTGCAATGAGGGACATAAGGTTACTATTCTGATATATGGCATAGTGTCAATCGTCACATTTGTTTATTCATTAGATTTACCATATTCTCTCACATACAACACACTCCAAAATATGCGCCTTGTTTGTGAAAGGCAAAAATGAAAAAATATTTTTTTCTAGGGCTATAGCTAAGCAGAGCAGGGACGGAGCCTAATCTTCAGCTGACTCATCCTCCCTTTCTTGCTTAACTAAAGCTGAAATGCTAGCTGCTACTGAAAATTGATCTCCATTGGTGGATCTATGATTCTGAAAAGAACTAGCCTCCAAAGCTGTGAAATATGGGAAGAGAGACGAGGGCAACTACCAGATAGCAAAATTGCCTTAAGAAATGTTAGCTCGATTGGTGGAACCTCAAGACCATTGAAAAGGAGAGAGTATTAGTAACACCTTTGGAGCAAAGACCACGACATTAAGGCAACAGACTTTATACTTGGATCCTTCTGTGAGCAAAGAGAGACCCGGGCACATGCCTATCTAGACTGTACCAGGATGCAACCCCTTCACCGCCTCCTCACAAATCTCCTGCTTTGGTGCTGGCTGCACTACTCCCTGCACCTTGTTGTGTACGCACTCCCCATCCGCAGCCCCGCTGAGTCCTGGGACCTCCTGGTCAACCTCGTCCTGGCCCTAAGCTAGGCATCTATGTGACAAGCACTGTCCGCTGTATTGTGCTTGGTGTCCCTGCTTGGTCAACTCATTTTAAACCTTTGACCTACACTCCTATCCCCGTTTTGTTTTATGTTATTCCCGAAATTCAGCTGGGGCATAGTCAACGCCCCCTCTAACAGGCCTGGGGGGAGGGTGGCACTAACCGCTGCCCTGTGACGTTAATCCCATGTTAACCTTGTGTTTCTGGAGTGCGTTTCACTAGGCAGTGTCCATTGGCCCCCTGGACTCGTGTAAGAGCTGGCGGACATTGGCCACTGTGCTCTGCTCAGTGTCCTCGCTTAGAGCACATACTTGTCACCTTTGCCCCCCACCGCCACCCCCGTTTTCACCTTTGCTGCTGCACAATTAGAGACCTCCTTGAATACGTGCAGGGGGGTCCAGCAGGTTCTTTGTGGGTTGACTGCCACGACTCGCACGTCAAACAGACCCGAAAAGCAATGCAATGGGTGCTGCAGGACAGAGCAGCCATCAAAGCCAGGGGCTTGTATCCCCAGCAGGACAGTAGTTGTGCAGCTACATACTGATTTGGGGAGGGAGGGGCTGATTGGGGGAGAGGAGGCAGGTGTGCATGGGACTTGAGAGCATACAAAGCCCTGTAAGTCACATGGGGCGGTGACGTCACGGCAGCGGGAGGACTCCAACTCCCGGCAGGAATCGCGCCGCGCATGCGCCCCGCGGCAAAGGAGGGCGCATGCGCATTGCACGCTGGGGGCTATAGTCCTCATCCACCCCATGTCTCCTACCCCCCCACTCTTCACTGGCAGACACCTGTCGCTGCCCCTCCACCTCCCCCCCGCTCCCCCGGGACTCACCGCCGGGCTCCCCGCGCACCCACCGCTGGGAGCACGAACTGTTGTCAGGACGGTTTTCCCGCGCTGCTCCGCGCATGCGCAGCCTTCCGAGTGCGCGTGCGCCTACAGCTGCCGCCGCGCATGCGCGGAGCTGCTTGTGGCGTCTCCCCTCCGGGGCGGGACGCGGCAGGGGACGGGGCCCTCCAGCCACCTCTT